TAATAAAAAGGAGACAGGGTCCCAGCAGGCAGCTTCTGGCTTCTCTTCCCTTGATGTGACGCTTGAACAGGTGCAGCATAAAAGGTCCTAAACTAGTGATTATTGGGCCGTTGGAGAAGGGTTCTCCTCTGTGATGTGAGCACAGAATGAGCCTTAAGAAGACAGGGTTGTGGGGTAAAGGGGTGGGGAGGCTGGTTGTCTGTGCCGCAGACAGCCTTGGCGGCTCACCTAAGGAGGATGCTACTGTCACATGGCAGAAGCTTACCGAAAGTGTAGGAATGGGTCTCATTGATATTGCCGCACAATAGGAACGAAACAGTAGGGCTTTGGAGTCCACATTCCGCAGTTTCCACCGCAACGTTGGCCTGGCTCACATTGATCCCTTGATGACTGTGATATCGAATGATGATGATGTGTGTGTGTGAATTGGTCTATTGTGAACGTAATGCTGCCGACAGAACTTTCACATCAGTGTTCAGTGGTACCTCAGGTTAAGTACTTAATTCGTTCCGGAGGTCCGTACTTAACCTGAAACTGTTCTTAACCTGAAGCACCACTTTAGCTAATGGGGCCTCCTGCTGCTGCCGTGCCGCTGGAGCCCAATTTCTGTTCTCATCCTGAAGCAAAGTTCTTAACCTGAAGCACTATTTCTGGGTTAGTGGAGTCTGTAACCTGAAGCGTATGTAACCTGAAGCGTATGTAACCTGAAGCGTATGTAACCTGAGGTACCACTGTAAATGCTTTTTGAGGGAATCTGTCCACACACAGAGAGATCTGCTAGCCTCCTGCTCCTTATTCCCTCATTTACAGCATAACCCTAACCATGACTATTAAGAAGTAAGTCCTGTGGAATTCAATGGGGTTAACTCTCAAGTAAGCAGGGGCAGCCTAAGCAGTGCTACAAATTAGGAACCCTTCCATAAACAAGGAACAGTGTGGGTTCCCCACCCCTGTCATCTTTCGATTTTAATTTTTTTTGGGGGGAGGGGTGAGAATATGAACTTGAACTATCAGAAGCTTGGGAAACACTGATGAAGAGTGTTGGTGATGTGGGGAACTGAGACATGAGGATCAAATGTCACATCAAATGTCAGCCCTAAAACTCAGCAATAGCCAGTGATGTACCTTGGGCTTTAAAATTTTGGCAGTGACGTCAAAATTCGGCCCGCGCTGCATGCTTTCTGCTGTTTGTCATTGTTGCAGAGCTCTCTGTGGCGCCCTCTTGGCTTGGCCAAGTCACCTCTGCCAATTCTTTCTTTCTTTCTTTCTTTATTATTATTACGGCTATTAGCCCATAAAACCTCTGCCAATAGTACCAGCCTCTACAGCAGGGATCTTCCAGTTTTGTAGCAGGGAAGAGGAACCTGTGGCCCTCCAGATGTTGAACTACATCTCCCCTACAACATTCTTGACCATTGGCCATGCTGGTGGCAGCTAAAGAACATCTGGAAGCCTGTAGGTCCCCCTAACAAGCAACTTTTTGGTTGATCGAAAAGGTGTTCCAAATTAACGGGGAAGTAAATAATTTTTGCACATTGATTTTCATCGAAGTACACCTGAAAATGGGACTCTCAATTTTGAGAAGGCATTTCCTTTTCTTGGTCACAGCAGAGGGAAATCCTCGTTAAGGCAGTGTCTACTGTGACACATGCACACATCAACACCCCCCCCAAATCAAGTAACACTTTTTATTCAGAACTAGTCACATGCAAATGTATTTTAATTGAACCAGTCAATTCAAATGTAAACAGTTAATTGACTCTGAACTAGGGTCCAAGCCCAGGGCTTCCCCCCACACCCAGATGGAACTCTCTGGAACTCAGTTGGGCGCAACTGCCATTATAAGAGAACATGGTGAGTTCCAGCACCACTTTTTCTAGAAAAATAGCACTGGCCGAGCAACTAGAATTAGTTGCTGACATCCTTCCCGTTGGGTGGTTGGTTTCTTCCATCTGCTTGACAGGTTGTTAACTCAGCCTGTTCCTCCAGAGGGAGGGAGGGGAAAAGAGAAATGTGGTACTTGCACAAGTTCTCCCTCATGAACTTCCCTGTCAACTGAATCTTTTAAAAGGCTGTTTGTCAGGTGCACTCACTTTTCAGGAGCTAGGCAGGTGACAACCAAACAGGGCCTTTTCACTGACAAGGCCTGAATTATAGATCACACTTCTTAGACATGTTCTCCTGTATCTTTTAGGTGCCTTGCAAAGTCCGCCTGTTCTCTTGGGCTACTTGATAGCTTTTTAATTTTTTTTTTTTAAAGTGATATCTAGTCCTCCCTTTTAATTACACTGGCTCGCATTTTTTATTTCTTCAGTTTCAGTTGCTTAACTGCTGTTTTGTTGAAGTAGTATGATTTTACTAGCCACCTTGAGACGTACACGAAAGACAACAATTCCCCCTCCCCCCAGATCGATAAGAAAATAAATATTACAACCCCCAGCAAGTCTGTTATTATTTTAGTTCAGGTATGTACTGGAGGGACTGGAAGTGTCTCCCTCAGAAGGGTTTAACAGTCAGTCCCCCTTCACAGGGAACAGTGGGAGCTGCTAGAGGCGCGCCATTTGCATTTTGAACCACAAGCACGAGAATTGCTTGGGCCTGTCCCCAAAGAGAGAATCACTGGGTGGTATCCAAGGTTAGTCATACTCCTAATAAACCCATTGAAATTAATAGACATGACTAACTAAGGCCCATTAATTTCATTGTGGGCCTACACTCGGTATAATTAAGGCTGTGTGCACATTACTGTTTACTTTGGCCCCAGTGTGCTCCCACTGCTGGCTTTTGAATCTGTGTACGCATAGCATTACCCACGAGGCAGAGCTATTCTGTAGCTTCTTGAGAAAGGCTGTGGTGCTGTGTTTTCCCTCAAATAAGCTTCAATAGCTTATGACTTATAAAGCCATATCTGGTTTGGGCCCAGGCTACCTGATGTATTGCCCAGGTGCTAAGATCCTCTTGGCCCCATCGACACCAGAAGCACAATTGGTGGTGACAGGAGAGAATCTTTACTGTGGCTGCTCCCATGTTGTGGAATTGCCTCCCAAGAGAGGTTAGGTAGGCTCCCTCTTTGTTAACCCTCTACTGGAAATCTAAGACCTTCCTTTTCAGACAGGCTTTTGAAAATTAAAGCGCAGACAATACTGATCTCTGGGCTGCGGTCAGAGCAAACTGCATTTGAACTGTTGGTTTCGAATGTGTTCTGCTGCATTTTAATTGTTGTTTTTTGTTTTTATTACTTTGTACTTTACAAGGTTTTAAGTGTTGTATCCCTTGAATCCCAACTTGGGGGGCAAAGGCGGGATTAGAAATATATTAAGAAATTACTAATAATCTAAAAGAAATACTTAAACCACATTCATTTCGCAGTTAAGCTAAGCGTGTACATTTCAGACAGTGGGGGGCAGCTCATGTGCAGGTTAATGAATAGGTGCTGGGAGAGTTTTAGGCATGGAGAAATGAAACAGGTGATGCGCTTTAAGTGAAGACATTCTTTATGTGACTTGAAATGCAGTAGGTTGGGGGAACGACCCTGCTGTATTTTAAGCTGCTAATCTGTTCATAGCCTAGGTAAGTGGTTCCAGTGTGTCAACCTGTACTTACTGTTCAGACACTATTTGCCATTTATTTTATTTACTGCATTTTTACTTTGCTTTTTGGACAAGTATTGTCTCCAACATGGATCAAGAATAGGGAGGGGGAGAGAGAGAGAGAGAGAGAGAGAGAGAGAGAGAGAGAGAGAAAGGCCCTGCCATCAGTCTTATGAACTTAAAAGACAAGAAACACAAAGGCAATTGAGTGGAGGGAAAAGATAGAGGGAGATCAGTTCTTCAAGGCCAGAACAAAGCTATGAGGGCATTCATATCCAGCTCAGGCCATGCTGATCTCTGCTTGCTGGCATTTTTGCTTGAATAGCAAGTTTCTCCTGTTGTTCTTCTGAAATCTACCCTCCTGTCCCTTAAGCCTTGGAGGTCTAGCTCTTGCTCTCTGAGAACAAGGCCTTGCCCACTTCTGTCAGCACTTCTGGTATCTGAGGAGCGCGATCAGGTCCCTTTCAAACATAACCCAAAAGTTACAGTGCTGTAAGAAAATTATTAGGTTTTCCATTGTGACCGTTTGGTTGGTTGGACCTAAAGGTGTTACCAAACTTGCTTTGGGGTTTTCCCCCTTTCCTAATGAGTCAGCAAGGCTACCTCCAACTCTGCTTTGAAGAGCGTAAAATAGATTCACGGAATCTCCAGATGTCCTTTTTATTGTGCTTTCAGGATGAGTTGTGCTCATGATCCTGTATTTAGTGCTGCTTCAGTGCCTGCAGAAGTTTCAGCTGGAAAATACAGTTGTGTTTCAAATCAGCGCACGACCCGCAACCTCCTCCTGAAATCCTGTAACTTTTTATACCTCTTAGGGTCTCTCTTGACTGTGTTTTTTCGTGGTTTTTTTGGGGGGTGGGTGTATTCTGCGACATGTCACTGACATGGCAATAGTGCATTAGTTTATACTGGGCCGTCCACACATTCCATTTCATTAGCTGTACTGCAACGTGTCTCCAAAATTATTGCATTATTGCCGCCTGGCATTTGCGCTATAGCATAACAAAACCTATAAACCGGAAGAACATTTGCAGAATAAAAAAGTTACAGAATTTCAGTAAGGATAGGCGCAGCTTGGAAACGAAGCATTTGTATGTCCCCCTCTCAACTTTTGCCGGCACAAACAATCCTGAAAGCTGGCTTATGTATAACCGCCCCAATATCAGAATGAGCTTGAATCATCAGTGAACGCACACCAATAAAAGGCTGTCTGGAGGACAAGTTTCAGTATATATAGTGATAGGTTTCAAAATCCACACGCTCCTCTTGTTATTGGGGGGTCCACTTCTCCTCACTGGCCGAAGGGTGGCGCTGGCGGAACCCTTATCTGTCAAAAGAAGGCAACGTTACAGATAATAGGATTTAAGGGGGTGGTGGGAGATATTCCTCCTTTTTTCCCTTTTGGTCCTTTGCTTGCTTGATCGCTCCATATTGAACAACGACCAAAAAAAAAAGGGGGGGAAGAAGGGAGGGTGGAAATGTTGCTCGTGCACTTCAGATGCCAGATCCGTTCCCCTGGATGAAGAGAAAGGAAAGGAAGAAAAGGCGGCGGTGGCGGGGGTGGGTGGGGGACCCCGAACACTTCAATAATTGCAAAAGGGAGCTGCTGGCGGGGGTGCGGAGGAAGGAAGCAGAAAAATACCTCCCTCCCAAGTGAGGCAGCTGTTCCTGAACCTAAGACTTTGCAAGCGCGTGGAGCCATGATTGCTGGGTTGTGGGCTGTGTGCCGCCAAGGCGACGTTTTGTGCGTGTGTGCGTGAGTCTAGCGTGTGTGCATGCGTGTGTGTGTGTGTGTGTGAGTGTGTGTGTTTGTGTGTATGACTAGCAACCGCGTCTGCTTCAGCTCAAGCAATGCCGCCGATCTCCCGTTTGCAAATAACAATGTGGCATTTTTGTCCTGCGGGGAGGCTCCGGAGTCCCCTTCTTTTTTTCCCTCCGCGGTCCTAGCAAGATTGTTGTCTCTGAAAGGCGAATCGGAGAGAGAGAGAGAGAGAGAGAGAGAGCTGGGGAGGGAAGGGGGGGGAGAGGAGGGAGAGAAACAAACCCGGAGATTATAAAAGAAGGAAGAAAAGGACGAGGAGTGACTGCGTGTTTGGAAACAACAACATCACCATCACCCCCAACGACAACAAACAGGAGGGTAGTAGGAGGAAACCAGCTCAGAAGAAACTTATGGAAGAATGAAGGAGATGGTGGGTGGCTGCTGCGTTTGTTCCGATGAGCGGGGCTGGGCTGAAAACCCCCTGGTGTACTGTGATGGGCATGGCTGTAACGTGGCGGTGCATCAAGGTAAGACCCCCCCCCCAACCAATCCCTCCGTATTGACACCTTTTCCATCCCTCCGTCCCTCCCTACGCCTCTCTTTCCTTCCCTCCCTCCCTCCCCAGCCAAGCCCCACTTTGCATCTTAACTCTTTGCCAGACTAGATGCATATATCTATATAAATCTATGTGCGCGTATATATCTATAGCTCTGGCGATGGAGTCAACAGAGAGAGAGAGATGTGGTGTAATTTCCCCTCCATTCATCTCAAGCCTTTGCAAAGCTTTGAGCAAATAATAACAACGATGATGATAATAATAATAATAATAAAAGAGGTTTAGGCATTGGAGTTGCAAAAAAGAAAAGAAAAACGGGTGGGAGGATTTTAAGTGTGCGTCGTTGTTATTCATAGTAAGTAGTGTGATTTCTATTGTTCTGTATAACGGTATTCTTGACAGGGCCTTCTTGGGGAGGGGGATGCAGAAGCGCAACCTTAGGAAGAAAGGGGGGTGTCGCAGCTGTGTCTGTATCGCTGGGAGGGCAGGTTTCTTTTAATTCTGCTAGTGCCGGGAGGGGGGCAGATCTTAGTCTTCCCCTCCTCTCACTGATGTGTGTGTGTGTGTGTTTATCGCTTTGTTTTGTTTTTTTTATTTATGCGTTTTTAATTGCACCGGCCTATAAAGGGATGTGTGTGTGAGAGAGAGAGAAAGAGGGAGATCTAAAACAGCAGCAGAGACAGAAAGGTTATACGGGGGTGGGCGGCTTGTTGTGTTCATGTTTGTATTTGTATTATTATATTATTTGACGTAGCTTCAGAAGAATCGTATGGCCGTGACCTCTGACGGTCTCCCTCGGCTTCCTTCCGGATTAGCAGGGGTGCTATTATTAGCCACCCTGCTGTCACTTTTTTTTCTGTGTGGGTTGTGTGTGTGTGTGTAGAAGGGGTGCTCTAGCCTGCAGTTTCAAGGTAAGCTAGGGAAGGGGGGATAATGTATACCAGAGAGAGATGGAGCAGAATTTGGGGGACATCCCTTCTCTGCAAAAGAACACATTTGAGCAAGGAAAACAGTGCGTGTGGTTTGTGTGCCTCCGGGCTACTATTCTGTCTCTTAGTAGATCATTAACACTGGAAACAGAAGGGCAAGGAGGAATCACCTCAGCTGCACCCAGCCCCACAGATCTAGGGCTGGTGCTGAGCCTGGCGTTATCTTTTCCAACAGGGCTTTGCTTTCTAAAATAAATGAAAGTAAAAGAACGACCAACCAACCGTTGTGGGAACATCACAAGCCCCCTTATACCGAGTCAGCCATTGGTCCATCTAGAAAGTGTTGTCAACATTGTACTGTCAACACTGTACGGGCAGCTAGTCTTTGCCACCTGTACTGGGAAGATGCCAGGAATTGAACCTGGAACCTTCGGATGCTCTACCGCTAAGACACAGCATTTAGGCTTACCCCACAGGTCCCCTGTCTCTGATCCCTAATCCGAGATGCATGAAAGCTGCCTGTGGTTATTCCGTAGTGTGGAGGAAAGGCACTCTGTCCATGCTCACAAGTGCTGTCTTCGCACATCAAAAGCCATGTGTTTATAGACAGGATTTTGAGCTTTGATGGAAGTTGAGCTTCTTTACCATGGCATACTGAGCTTGGTGTTTTTCATGTTTTATCTTGTTCCAATGAGTGGTAGCTAACGATGTCATATTCAGAGCAGACCCATTGTAATCAATGAACTTAAGTAACTTAAACACCATATTAATAACACCAGATGTTACCCAGTATGTTTTGCTTTTATATAAATTTTACATAGCTGGTTTTATTTCTAGTGGCTTTGAATGACAGAAAAGTAGGAAATAATTATGTTTTGTTTATCTATCTATCTACCATCTATCTATCTATCTATCTATCTATCTATCTATCTATGTAATTAATATATAATTAATGTTTTATTTTTTATTTTTTAATCCTGCCTAAGCATTTAAATTCTATGCGACAATTTAACATGTTTCCAAGCTGAGTCTTGGTTTTGAAGATAGTTTCTGGGACTCCGTTTGACATTTAGCCTTAAAATGAAATCCCATTCGTTTGCTAGCTTTGATGCTGCCTCTCAAATCACCTGCCTATTAAAAACAATTCATGCACATAAGCACGTGAGGAAAGGCACTTGCAAAAGGGAAACTGGTGAAGGGTTGCAAAAAAAGTTAGCCAAATCAGCAAAGGATTGTAGCTCAGGGATAGAGCCTGCCGTGTAAATAAGCCCACAAAGTTAGTAGCCTGCAACAAAATTCAGTTGGCTGCTAGTAACCTGCATTTCCATGGAAGCCCCCTCCATCAAAGTTTACAAGGTTGAGGGGGCTGCTAAAGCAAACAATCCAACCCCTGCCTTCTGCCATGGTGGCTGACAGAGGAGGGATGGATTGACCCTTTCCTTCTCTCCCAGCCTATGCACTTGCCTTCATGCAATTTCATTCATTCGCCTGGTTGGATTTCCTGATCACCCATGGCTACCAAGCAAATGGTTAAATACAAAGCTGAGTGGACCAAATGCTTTGAGTGGACCAATTCAGTCCCAGGCATCTCTAAGACTGGGATGGATTCCTACCTGAGATGCTGGAGAACAGCTACTAATCAAGGTAGATAGCATTGAGCTTGATGGACCAATGGTCTGATTTGCTATTAGGCAGCTTCCTGTGTTCCTACCTCGAAAGTTGTTGGGAAGGGCACAGCACCTGAGCCCAGTTTCCCCAAAGGCTAGCTACCTTGCCCTTTGTCTTTCTTTTCCTGAGAAATCTGTGACAGCAGCTCTGTCAGCAAGGACCCTTTCAGGAAGACTTAACTGTTTGCTAAATCCTAGACATGATGTTGCACCAGACCAAAAAAGCAACTAGGCTGCAATCTGTAAATACGTTCTGTGTATATTCTGGTCTGGTCAAGGGACGGACGCCGATGTAAGCATTATGCTGCTGTTCACAGGGAGTCAGAGATCCAGTGTCTTGAATGCATGTCAAGGAAATAAACAACAATCTGACTTTTAGAAGACATCGGAAGGGATGTTTTTATAGGGAAGTTTTTAAATGTTTGATGCTTTATTGTGGTTTACAATTTGTCGGAAGCTGCCTGGAATGGCTGGGGCAACCCAATCAGATGGCCAGCATATTAAATAATAATAATAATAATAATAATAATAATAATAATAATAATAATAATCCCTGTCCACGCCTTCACCATAGGAAGGGAGTAAGGTGGGGCAGAATCCTATTCACTGACAGGAATGCTTTGCTAGGCAATAGGAAATACTTTGCCTGGTTTAGGAATAGCCAGTTAATGGTCTGTGGCCTGCTTTTGGTCTCCAGAACTATTTCATCTAGCCAAATTGTAAGCAATGTATGGTTAAAAAATGCCCATAGTTACTCTCATAAGGTAAATAAAAATAGAAATAGATTTTAGGAGGAGGAAGAAAAAGACAATGTGTAGTACAGGATTAAACTTTGGGGACTAGAACTCAGAGCTTCACCTGACCATGAAGTTCACAGTTTGGTCATTGAATATGAAGCAAGTTTTATAAAATATTAATAGTTGTTACATTTTTGTTTAATACAAGGCAGGCTTGCTTACTTTGTATGACCAGAACAAGAAGCTGTTTATTATTGAGGCTAATATAGGCTTCCTCAAACTCTGCCCTCCAGATGTTTTTGGCCTACAACTCCCATCATCCCTAGCTAGTAGGACCAGTGGTCAGGGATGATGGGGATTGTAGTCTCAGAACATCTGGAGGGCCGAGTTTGAGGAAGCCTGTACAAAGGAAAATTAATGTAAACACAAGAACAAGCTAAGGGTGGAGTCTTTGCTCCTCCAACCCATAATAACTGGAGACGATATTTAACTCTGTAATTACCAATTGCTGCTACTACTACTACGATGATATCACAGCTTTCAAAAAATCATCAAGAAATTACACCAACTGTCTTGCACTAGACATGGACAAGGATATAGCTCACGGGAAATGCAAGGTGTACCTTTGAGATATCATAATAACTTCTGGACAGCTGTGGAATGGTTTGTCTGCTTTTGCTATGATAAACTCCCCATGATGCTGTTACAGTGAACAATTAAGACAGCACACAATATTCCTTTCTTGGAGCGTTTAGGGGATTTCCTAGTAAGGCTGGAAGATAGATGCTCTGCCTTACGCAAACAGTTTTGGGGGATTTTGCATGTAGGGGAAGGAACAGGGTTAAGGCACTTCAAAAATTTGCTTCCTCACATCAAAAGGTTCAACAAGCATTTCCTTTTTTTATTTTTTCTTTGCTTGTCAAGCCTCCGCTCTAATTGTTCATTAGGTCACCTCAGTTCACAGAGTTGGTGAACATCAGAGAAAGGAAAAGCCTGTTTGCAGCGGTGAGAGCGACTTCAGATGTCAAGTGTGTGTTTACCTCTGTGTCCTTGGGCAGCTGCTGGGGCTCCAGCAGGACTCTGGCAGGACCCACCGACAATGCCTGTCCCGGGACACAACTATTTTTTTCTAGCCTAGCACTCCAAGTCTAGCCACCACATACATTTTCTCTGCTCTGGGGTATCATTGGAGATTAAAATGAAGGCTTGACCCAGCTATCCAGAGCACCAGGTTAAACCCACCAGGGCCCACTGACAGGGGAGCCCACTAGAGCCCACTTTCCCTGGGCTTACCTTAAACCTGGAGCCAGCCCTCGTATGTGTGACCTCTTTGTGTAGCCTTCTGTGTACCAGACGATTATTCCTCAGGACCAGAGTAGATCTGATGGGGATAGTCACACTTGTTTATTCATAGGTCTGTCCCATTAAAATTTGAAATGAGGATGGCTTTTTTATATATATAGGCTTAGATGTGAGACATTTAAACAGCAAATGTCGTTTGTTTGTTTGTTTATATTATCAATGCTATTAATTGCATTTATATCTTACCTTTCCCCCAAGGAGCTCGGGGTTTCCCCACTTCATCTCCACAACAACCTTGTGAGGTTGGTTAGGCTGTGAGATGGTGGTGATTGGCCA